TATATCTGGACATTTTATTCGAAAATCGTCGTTGTGTATCGTCTTGCTTTGCAGAACGAATGGAGAATTAAGAAGACCTTTTATGTTTGATTCAAATTGAACAATATTCTTTAAAAGTTATAAATTTCGATGTTTTTTACTTGCAAACTAACGAAATATTTACAAACAATTGTGTCTAGTATTTTTATAGACCTCGAATAAAAATTCCCGCCATTACGGAACATAATCTTTATTATAGATACAATTTACCAAAAACTAGTAAACAATGCATTAAAATGTTTATTTAAAAGTGATTTTCGATCATCAATAAATCTTTCCATGATTGCATTGGAATATATTTGAAATTAAAACATGAAAAAATCGATCTTTTACAATCTTCAAAATTGCCAAACGCAAGCTGAAATCTAACCACGTGACATGAAAAGTTTTTGCACACTGCACCTCGGCTGTCGTCCATCCTCTAGGTCCTTGCAGAGGTTCGCGAAAAACATGTACTGGATTTCAATTCTTATGTTCAAATTGTGCTTTTGTATAATTATTTGTAATAACAAAAAGTCAAGTTTTCTTCATTTTTTTGTGTGTGCCAAACTATGATGCAGCAAATTCTACATACCTTATCGTCGGTTTTATTCATAGAATACATTTGATTATGGACTTTCATTTTTGATTTTTCCTCCGAGTTCAGTATTTTTGTGATTTAACTTTTTTTGTAAATAAGATGGACTCGTAAAATGTATGTTCACACGCTAAAAGGAAAGCTGCCCATTGCAATTGCCATTTCCTCTTTTTTTTTGGCATGTAGAAAGTAAAAACACAAGTAGGATATACTTAATTGAAAGCAGCAACCGAGAGACAGAAACAAACCAAATACATCTTGAGTATGGATAATATTTTTGGATGGGACATGATTCAAAATACATACAAAAAGCCTTCCAACCTAAATCACCCCCCCCCCCTCCCCCCCCCCCCCATCCCCCCATCACACACACCATAGAGTAGAATAAAAATTAAGCTTATTTTAGCCGCTTTTCGTGCACAGTTTTAATGTTCAATTTTTAAAATAACAAGATGATATTTTTTTTGTTTTTGTTTTTTTTTTTTTTTGTGACTGAAAATAAAAAAAATGTGTAATGCAAGCATTCCAATCAAAAATTGTACCTAACTTTTAACCTACGTGCGTGTGTTTTGTATATTTATTTTTATCAAATCGAAAATTTTAAATGGTACTGTATAATTATCCGTTTATTTTAACTTTAGTGTTGGTGTTGAATGAAGGCAACAGTAATATATCGCTGTTCAAAAGTCATAAATCGGTTGAGAGAAAATAAATCCGGGTTACAAACTAAAACATGGTATTCTAAATCTCCGAAAAAAAGGAGGAGAAAATAAAGTTTATATAGTAATTTTGAATTTTTGATGCAGATCTAGGTTAGAATTAATAAACATAGTTTTGCTTTTTCCTTTAGAACTTTTAGAACGCCAATATATTCATGATATTGTACTATACGATCAACAAATTGTACAGAAAATTTGTGAAAGTCCCAGCTCCATTTACAATTGTCAAATCAAAATGACGGTATAGTATAAATCATAACGATGTTATATAATGGTCAACTGCATGCGACTTTTAATTACAGGTTGCAAAACGGGTGAGAATTGGACATCGCTTGATATCAACTGGAGTTATTTAATTTCAATGTAATAATAAACGATCCTCTGGCGATTTTTCTTTTTATTACTATTGCAATGAAATAGTAAGAGCTAATATCAAGCAATATCTTATTCTCCTGAGTTGTTAAACCTATTTCTCTAATGACAAACATTTTCTTTGTGTTAAATAAACTCAATGATTCGTTGATCTTGTCATGTGCACATACCAGTTTGACGTCATATGTCATGTTTTAGCGTCAAACAAAATAACATCAGACATTTTCAAACTTTTTGAACGCTTCAGAAGGTAATAAACATTTACAAAAAGAAGATGTTTAAGTGAAAAATGTGAGTGTTTTGTATATCATGAAGAATTTACATATTTTTGTTGTCATGGAGGAATTTGTTTATCGTTTTGACCTTTACATGCCTTCACTGACCTAACCAATAGCCTATCGAAATGTCGCAATATCGTTATGTGATGCTGGTTAAGCCAATCAAGTTTACACATTTTTCGTATGATTTCTTCGTATTACTCTCCATGCAGTGTGATACGAGAAATATCTCTTCATGCGAGAAATAAATAACAGGCCACAACCATCAGAGAAACAATCCTACTCACAGAACAGGTGTGTTCACAAAGTGTTATTTTGGAACAAATAATGAAAACAAATGGTAAAATCCAAAAACACCTGTAAAATTGTCAAATCAAAATGATGGTGCAATGTATAGTATTGTAAACTACGCATGTTGATAAACAATCCTACCTTATGTGAAAGCTTTTTATCAAATAGCATATAATTATTGTGCAAAAATGCCAACAACATAGTATGGCATACAATCGTTCCATGTATGAGAGCTTTATAAGGTGTCATTTTGTTATATGGTATAAAAGTGGTCAGAGTTCAATCATCCCTGTTAAAAAATGTCAACAAAAATGACAGTATAGCTGCTCGTGATGTTTCTGAGTGATAGAAAGATGGACTAAATAAGAATATCAATAAGTTTCCTGTGAATCACATGTTTAATTTTGGAAATGCACCATAGAAGGTTAAAAGAGAATTCAATGAATATATAAAAAGTTGAATCGGCAAATCATTAAAATTTATAATTAGAAAAATTACAATGGGCTATTCCTAAATTAACTTCTATTATGAATGTTAAAACTGAAGGCTGCCTTTGAATTTCCAGAAAACATCAAAACTTTTAAACAAAAAATGCAAAAATAAATTTACATTTTTTCTAACATACACAGTAATTTCAGCAAGTGATTGGTTTCATTAATGATTATTTAATTTAGAACTAACAACAACGCCGTATTTATCTAATAAGATGCATTAGAGATAAGACAGATATGAAGGCCGTACAGTTGCCTATAATTGCTTACATCCACTTTATTTGAACTTAAGTGCATAGGTGTCTCATTGGCAATCATACCACATTTCGTAATTCTAAGTAGATATTAAAATTCTATTTTAGCAAAACAATCAATCAATAATTAGTAAACTTTTTTGTAATATTTAATAAATATATACTGTAGACAAAGAGATATGTCTCCGCTTTCCGCTAATTTTTCAAAGTTCCAATACTACGTTTCCGGAAACTTAAAGTATACGTTTCCAGAATTTGTATTTATTACTTTTCCGGAAATTTACCTGGTAGCAAATTATGAAAATATGTTAGATAAATTATTTATTTTATATTTTTATACAAAAAAGGTTCTGATCTTATATCTACAATATTAGATATAACCAGTTGACTCTGATTACAAGGACAACGATTCAGAAATGGCTGACACATTTCTTTGGTTTGGCTTACTTGCCAAACAATAAGATTGAAGAATACTTTGTAGAATTAATACTGAGCAGATGCTCCATCTGACGATAAATGCACGAAGTTTGAAGATTACATATTGGAATTTTATATAGATGGCAATTCGAGATTTCCACCAACCAATGGTGCCGAGTTTGTTCATGCCCACTTTAACGAGTAGTTTTACGCTAGCCATCCTAACTTTTTTGTCTTTGTCGATGTGCTATTAAAACTGCAAACAACATGATCGTAAAGATGAGAACTTTATTAAAGCACCCGTTCAAAGATATGAAAAGGAGAAGATGGACTTCCTTGTTGAACAAAACACAAAAAAATGTAGACGGTGTGAATGTACTACTGTGGACTTTGTACGACGTGTTGGCTAAAATTTTATAATGGCTTTGCTTTCGTTCAACAGGTATTCATTAATTATTTTCCCGGAAAAGTAATAATTTATTTTTTTCTGGAATCGTTACTATTTTCCCGGAAAAGTAAGGTATTTATTTCCGGAAACGTAGACTTTTTTTCCTGGAAACGTCATCTTTTTTTCCTGGAAAAGTAATGCCAATTTCGGGAAACGTAAAACGACGTTAGAATTCATCATGTTAATGGGCAGCAACATGGCGAATTAATTAAAAGTTGCTGAACCATGACCGACCGGATAAGGCCTCGAAATACGTCTAAAAAACTGATATGTATTATTAGTAATGCAACTTACTAGAAAATACCATTGATCTATTACCAACTGACTTAAGCAAAAAACTAAAAATTGAAAGTTACTAATTAATTCATAGTTACTGCACCATGACCTAAAGGGCAGTGCCTTGAAATAGTACTGGTAGTAAAGGAATTTTATGAAGATATCATTGATTTATTACAAGTAGTTCCTATCAAACTGATTTAAGCAAAAAACTTTTAATTGAAAACACTTATCAATTTAACATGTTTAAAGTCACTGTGGACCATCACCAAGGGGGGAGGGGGGGGGGGGGGGGAATGGGGCTCGAAATCGTCGAAAAATTGAGAGGTAATGATAGTAATGCAACTAGTAAAAATATATCAATTTCTCTCACAAGTAGTTCCTACCAAACTTACTCTAGCAGAAAACTTAATAATTGTTGACGCAAACAACGACACCGCCGGAAAAGCAACACATATGTCTCGCTTTCCGCAGCTTTTTGTCGTAGGCGAGATTAAAGTAATATAACACAACAAAACGCCCGTTAACAGTTTATTGGCAATTTGGACCATCGAATTTTCCCTCATACATGTAGTCTTATACAAAATGGTAAATGTATATCAAATTATGGTGGCCGTACTTGCAGGTACAACTTGTCAAAAGGAATAATTATTCAATTTAAAAAAGAGGCGACAGATATCGTATGGACACTGAAAATTCATAAGTTGAAGAAAAACCAACAGAAGCATAGTAAAAACAATTCAAAGTGTAAAGTTATGATACATGATATAGCATTTGCTAGGGCAAATTGCATGTAAAACATTCATCATACATACCCCAATATCAGCTGAAAACTCACATCTAACAGCATTCGAAATCTGACTCACACATTCCATTAGATTTATCGGGAGAGGCACTATAGGATCTCCTGAACAAACAAGTATGATACGATCTACTACAAGATATTCATTACGTTCACCATATTTTCTTCTTACTCCATCTTTGCCAGAGTTATTGAAGCACTCATATACATCTTTAAATTTTTCATATTCATGCAATTTCTCATATAAAACAGTATTGAGTAGTTCCCTGTTTAATCCGTTGTTTATATCCTCAAAACCACTCATGTCAATAAATGTTGGCATTAAAACACCATCATCTTTTCTGATTCGTCCTTTCCTTGTGTAGTACCGTTCTTTCTTGTAACTGAAAATGCATTGGTAGTATATAGTGTTATTTAAATCTCAGTCGTTCTGTAGATTGGCATTACAAAACTAAGCAAAATTTACTTCAGTTGTTTATATACGTTTTCTCATTCTTGTTTATAGTTTTCTATAAACGTAACCTTAATGTCATAAAACAGCATTATAATTCAATTTTTTTAGTATATAATATGGGTGCGCAAAATCCTATATCAACCTACAAAATGCAACGTGCATTAATTCTTTGTAAGTTTGTCATTTAATATGGTTGTGTAAACACAAAATGCGATGAACTGAATTCTCATGATGTCAACTGTACCTGAGTGTAATAAATGATGACGTTGCTCTCTAACTGAGAAGTGGGAACTACTTTTTATGCGTATAGTAAATTGGTTCACGGTCTGATTTCATTAATTTTAACTCGTTAAAAACATACAACGGCAAATCATTAACCAAATTACAACATACGATTGCTAAGACCCGATCTGAATAATGCAAATTAAGATGTACAGTCATAAGGTTAAAGGTATCTAGACAATCATTAAAATTGAAATTTAACATAAATTTATTATTCCTATCAAAATATATTAAACTTTGAGTTCCTAACTTTTACGGACAAATTTAATGTTCCAGAGTAGTAGGACACAACCTCCATATAAACCTGTTTAAATCCGTCACAAAAGAACTTATGACGAAATGTATTTTCAACATATTTTTTTTTCAATGTAACAAAATGATTGACATTTGGTTTACATATATATATAAAATGCAACTCTTTAAATAATTATTAGTTATGGTCTGGAGATCTCAACCTTTTCAAAACTGACAATTCCCCTCAACATTTTAAAGTACCTGATTAGACTTTGTGTAAATTGCTTGCCTAATTTACCATAGTTTCCTTGTAGAGCAATTGGTTTCCATCTTTCATCGCTAAAGCTAGCAAATATTGTGTTTAGAAGAGATGATTTTCCACATCCAGGTACACCAATGATGACAATATTCAGTGGACGTTTGCCATGATATATTGTTCCTACTTCATCTTGGCACATTTTGATTAGTCTCTGTTTACTGTCCCATCCCCTTTTCTGTGTATTATCTACGTCAGTAGTTTATCCATCTCTAAATCACTGTCTGAATTTTCTGCAATCATCTAAAAAAAAGAGAGAGAAGATACCAAGAGAGCAATCGAACATCATAAGACCACTGCAAAGATTTAAATGACGGAAGTATAAACAACAATAACAAACATTTTATAGAAAACTAAAGACTGAGCAGCACAAACTCAACCAGAATCCGGGAATGAATTCAGGTGCTCCGGTTGGGAAAGCAGCTCATCTTCCACATGTGTACATGTCGTGTTGTTCAAGCAAGTATACATCTATTACAATATGTATAAACAAAATATGCAAATGATTACAAAACCCAACGCTCATATGTGTGAACATTTATCAAACATTTTGTAGATGATACCTTAAAATTACTTTTTCTCATCACTGAGTTTACTTAAATGTGATCTAAGTCGATATTTTTAGATTAAGTCTGATGACTTGTCTCTGGAAATGTGTTCGTCTGCCCAGCTGCTATTTTATGCACTCACAAATCGTACTTTCTTTTTAATTTGACCTGTTGATACTATTTGTAATGTTTTTTTATTATTCAATGTTAACATGGATCTTGTTTATATACCAGCTTTGATTATTTGGTATTACAACAAATTTTCACTTCTTCGTACTATGAACATCAAAATTATTTCATTTTTCCTTAGATGCTGTTCTTGGACCTATACAGGAAGTTTTATCTAGCACTAATTGTATAGTTTTATTGTTGATATTCACCCCATATGTACCAAGTGTTAGATTAGTTTTATTGATATTAAAGAAATATTAAATGGTATTCCTAAACGGAAGATTTTATACACACAGAAGAAGAAGTATACTTAACAAAAAAATTATTTTCATTTACCTGTGTATAATATAACGCAGGTTTCTTCAAAAGTGATGATTTTCTAAAAATTGTTTGAAATTTCACAGTTATATCATACTTAAACTTTGTTTAAACCTGTTTATTTACTTTTGACTTTAATTATTTATCCCTTGTTATTTTTTATTAACTGTGTATTTGCTTTCAGGTGTCACAGGTCAAATTTATTCGTTCATTGTGTGTTAATTTACGTTTTTTGATTGAGTTAAGCCTTCAAATTTATATTTCATAGTGTGTTTTTCTATGTTGTGATGTTATACTATTGTTTTAAAAAAGGGAGAAGGTTTGGTACCATTAAAACGTTTAACCCCGCTGCAAATGTTTGCACCTGTCCTAAGTAAGGAATCTGATTACAGTAGTTGTCGTCTGTTTATGTAGTTCATACGTGTTTCTCGTTTCTCGTTTTTATATAGATTAGACGGTTGGTTTTTCCGTTTGAATGGTTTTACACTAGTAATTTTTTGGGGCCCTTTATAGCTTGCTGTTCGGTGTGAGCCAATGCTCCGTGTTGAAGGCCGTACCTTGACCTATAGTGGTTTACTTTAAAAACAATTGTAACTTGGATGGAGAGTTGCCTCTTTCGCACTCATACCACATCTTCCTATACCTATGAAATAACATCCGATACATATATACAACGCAAACCTACAGACAGACAGCACATATACATAGATAGAACATGCAAAATAAAAACTAAGCAAGATCTATATTAAACCAAATGTGAAATATTAGCACATTAGAGCACACAGTATCTTGATATCAAGTAGTACATGCAAAATTGAACACTATAAAGTACAAGCATAAGACTGCAAGCAGCTACAGCACAGGTAAGGCATAAGCATAACAAAGAATTTATAAAAAAGATAAAAAATTAAAAAAATTAAAAATTAAAAAATAAAAAAAAAAATCAATTAGCAGGCTTCAAAGTGAAGTCATTGCGCAGCAAGGAGTTAAATTATTTACAAGAACTACAAGGTACAATTTTCTAAAAAAAACACCAGGTAGAGATAAAAAAATTTAAACTGGCCAAAAGTTGATAAACTCTTTGCCTCATTTGGCAAGGAGTTCCAGAGCCTTGCTGCTCCATAACCAAATCTTTACTTGCCATACCTTGTTGTTTTTGGCCGTGGTATGTCCGCTATGCCTTTGTACCTAAAATTATATGAATTTTATTTATTGTTTATTAAATTATGTTGGAATTCCGGACTTGATTTATTTATTATATTGTAAGTCTCTAATGCCACGGTTCTCATTCTTCTGATTGGTAACTGGAATGGTGATAGTTTTAATCAACACCGGTCATATATTAGTTATATATAAAGTTTAATTCTTTGAATCGTCGTTTTTACCACATGCCGGCTAACAAATTGGACCTCGTTATTTTAGTATTATAGATGATAGAAGTTTTAATGTACTAACATACTAGCCACAAACAAAGATACTTACCAGCTTGGAAGTATGCTCAGATGTTTCTTTAGCAAAAAACCTAAATGTTTATATTGTGTCATTGTTTGTCATTAAAAAACACTTAGCACAATCATGTCCAACTTAGCTAAACTATGACAAAATCACTGTACTAAACGCTCATCGATATTAGACCTTAGTATCTGTGTTGTTGAAATGTCTAAATTCTGTAATATTGTGATGTTAATATTTAAATGATATTTACCTTCCTGGAAAATTATGTACATATACATATGTTTAATTTCGGTCGTGCATTATACATGTAAAATTCAGAATGGAAATGGTGAATATGTCAAAGAGACAACAAGCAGACCAAAGAGCAGATAACAGCCGAAGGCAACCAATGGGTCTTCAATGCAGCGAGAAAATCCCGCACCCGATGGTGGGCCTCAGCAGGCCCCTAAATAAAAATGTGTACTAGTTCAGTGAAAATGGACGTAATGCATACTAAACTCCAAAAAAATTGAAAACAACACGTTTAATAATTTCATGCGTCCGAAGCGCTTTTCTGGATTTACCTTCATCAGGAACGCTCAATGCCAAACATTTGAAATCCGAGGGATGTATAAGTACCGAAACAGTTGAAGAGCTATATGACAAAAATACATGAAACAAATAGCCAAATTCATCTAAGATCAACTTTGCCTGAGGGAGTTGAAACCTACGCGGGGTCATCGGACACTTTTTTAAACTGCATACCCCAATGATGATTGTGAACAAGACTGGTAAAATTTAGTTTTAGTTTCAGAGTAGATGATCTTTCCAAAAGATAACTGACGACGTAAGACGACGGACAATGGACAATTGATAAAAAAAAGCTCAGACTGGCACATGGGCCAGGTGAGCTGAAAAGGAAACAACACAAATTTTTGACTTGTTTCCTTCAGATGACATTTCATGATCTTGTAAAAGTTTCATAACATTCCATGGAGGTTTTAAAAAGTTATTTTTGTCACAAAAAATATTTAATCTCATTCTGTATCATAATGTTAAATGGATAAAAAAACTAAGCTCGTTTATTAATGAAATACGAGCAAATGAAATGCTATAAATTTGACACAAAGTAATTGATTTCTAAAAAAACTTAAACCCGACTTGTTTAAATGTTAACTGCAAAAAAAGCCTTTTAGCAGAAAAGTACGAAAAACGATGAAAAAAAAGGTATTTTCAAAATATTTACTAAGGCTACTGTCTTTTGATCGTTATTAAGCTTCTGTCTAAGACAGTAAATTTCCATGAAGGTATGACAATCTCATTTATATCCGTGAAGCGTTAACCTTGACTGTATCTTAATGTTAACTGCAAATTAAACCTCTGTATCAGTAATACGGAGAAAAGGAGAAAAAAATTATCTTTCCGAATTTTTCCCTGGATCTTTTGTTTTTGACTTTTACAAAACCTTCTTTCCAAGTTTCTTAAAATTCTATGAAGGTTTTACAAAAATATTATTGTCTAAAAAAAACTTAAACCACAGACTGAACACAAATGCTGACGCCGCCGACGACGGAATGTTACGTAGGATCGCTCTGTCTTGTTTTCGCTGCAAATTTTCTAGCTCAGTGCACGTAGTACTTCTTATACACTAAACATCCAACAAACCTGAACCATCAAGGACATTAATTTGAATTAGTTATTGAGGTAAATAATATGAAGTATGATAAATTTGTTCGATTCATAAAAGAACTTTAAATTTATAAAACATAAGAAGACAGTCTTTTTTTTAGTTTAAACATTTAACCATGGAAGTATTATAGTGTCAATATAATACTTCCATTGTTTAACCCAAACATGTATTTGATTGTTTTTTAATTGCGTCGCTCTAAAAAATATTTTCTCTCAATCAATATAATTAGGCTCTAGTTACATAGCCTTTACCTTCTTATACTTCATTTGCGTGGTTGTGTAAGATATCTTTTATTTATTGTCATAACTAGTTCCTTGATAAATGATCTGAATCGTTACCTTTAGGTTAATCTTTAATCTTTTATGTAATATGTTAATGCTGACACCACAAAACTTACACTTAGTACAGACAAACCTATGCAATGTGGAAAAGTTTGAAGGTTGTTGCTGAATCGACATATTTTTTTATGTGAAATTAAACCTTTTTAGGATTGTTTAACCCTACAGAAGATGGAAAAATATAAAAACAAACACCTGCTTTCATTTTATTACGGTCTACTCAGATACGTTTAAATCATCTGTCGTTGAACATATGTCTATCATCTATCTAGTGGTCATGTTAATCAATAATAGACAACCAATACCAAACTATTAATACCTGATCATTTCAAATAAATTTCCAAAATAATTTTGACGTATCCTATAGCAACGGAGGAAAATCTTCACCAAAATATAGGAAAGTTTTGTTCCTGAACTCATACTAGTTTTAAAGATGTAAAACCTCTCTTATTTGCATAAAAGGTTATGCAAAACCGTGATAGGAAAGTAGAAGACACAGTAATTTGCATGTAAATTGTCTTTATCTTCGTCTTCATCAAGAAAAAATAAGAGGTGCGTAATAACTCTTTAATTTCTACATAGCATTAAAATTGTATTATATAAAAACTTACTATTAACAGAAAACTCGGACTTCCTCTTTTCCTTTATTTATGTTTTAATGAAATTACTGCTGAATTTTCAACTTTCGGTCTGAACAAAACGGGTTTTACCGACCCACAGGGAAATCATGATTGGAGAGAACCAATCTACCCTTAATCCAATGGAAACTCATCTTTTTTTCGCTGATACAATGTATTCTTTTAATATTGGCCATATGACGAAAGACCGTCTATGACTCAGAATTCAAATGGTATTAAAAATACTTAACACATGGTGAAAAAACATCACATTGTCAACAAACGGTCTTCCACAACAGACACGACTATTAGTCTATGTCGATATGTCACTTATTGGCCTTGAGACAGCCAGTTATCCTATATGAATACATTGTATAAATACCTTGAAGTTCTTATTTATTTAGACGACAATCTACTTGTGTATAACTGTGAGATTGTTGAAAATGTATAACTTCTTAATAAACATTATTTTAAATATAGTTTGCAACTTTAACTATGTTGCATTTAATGTACTATTGTTTTTCTGTTGGTCTTTTTTTTCTTTTTTGCCATGGCGTTGTCATTTTTTTTTTTTTTTTTTTTTTAACTTATGAGTTTGAATATCCCTTTGGTATCTTTCGACTCTCTTTTACTTCTCTTTTGATAGTATCACTTTTACGTCAATATTCATTTTTACGTTTCACAGATGACGACAGATAAATATAATTTTCAACTAAACGTCTGTTTTAATAGTACCAATTTTACGTCAATGTTTGTTTTTACGTTTCACAGATGACGACAGATATGTTCCCATTGTATAACCACGTGACCACAATCTCGTCTTTCTTCGAATGTTACCTACCGTATCAAACTTGCCATCGGGTTTGTACTTATATGAACAGTTAGACGGGTGCCATATACGGAACAGAATCTGTAAACCCTTCCGGAGCACCTAACTGAGATCACCCCTAGTATTTGGTGGGGTTCGTGTTGCTCATTCTTTAGTTTTTTATGTTGTTTGTTTGTCTTTTGATTGTTTATTCTTTTTTTTGCCATAGCATTGTCAGATTATTTTTTTCGACTAATGAGTTTGAACAATCGGTTGGTATCTTTCGCCTCTCTTTTACAATCTTATCTTTTTAATTTCAATATTCAGATATACATGTAAGCATTTTTAGAGTATATGAAATTTTCTCTCGGAGTTTATTTCAATCTTTGGTGGTTTGGTTTAGTAGAAGAATTACAGTTCGAAACTGTATTTGTTACAATTAACATCCTAGTAATCTGTGCGTTTGTTTATAGATCGATCACGAATAGTACGTGGTACTCGACACTATTAGACAATGACTTCTCGCAATGCAGCAGTGTCACATTTTTCGTGTCTGTCCGCGTCAATTTATCACTGAAATGCACGCAACTACCGCAAACTTCATGTAAAAAGATTTACAAACACTAACATTGACCAATGAATAATGAAAATGGTGTCAAGGTCAGAAGATTCCTCCCAGACAGACATGTACACCTTCCAATCATTCCATACACAAGAATATAGTTTACCTTTTGCTTATAGTACTTGAAAAACAGACCAAATCACAAAAACTTAACATTGACCATAATGATCAATGAACCATGAAAATGAGGTCAAGATTAGAGTAAACTTGCAAAACTGACAATCATCCAAATCATGTAACCTTAACTTTGACCACTGATCCATGAAATGCAGTCGTGAGAAATAAACATGACATGGCAGTTAATGAAAATGAGGTCAAGGACAATGGACACATGACAGACGGAAACTGTGTAACATAAGGTATCTGCGTACATAGTATGAAGCATCCATGCCCTCTAAAATTTGTACAATTAGTTTACATCGCCACCGCCACCGTCACCAGATAGTAATTCTTATGTCTGGCTTAATGCTACATTCGTCTCGTCGAGACAAAAACGACACTTGTTGTATTCAAATATTCTACATGTAACAACTTATGAATAATGTTGGATAAAACGTAATGGGGGATAAACACACAAAAAAAAATATATTGGCTTGCTCAGGTTAATAGTTTTGACATTTTACTAATATTTTCCAGCCAGTCAATGATAAATGTAATGTAAATTATTGATTAGTTACAGACGACTATTGCACTGATCTATCAAATAAAAATTTAGACCCCACTTTACAGTTTCAATGTTTTCACTTTTCTTTTGAAAACTAAAGGCTCTAAAGAGCCTGTGTCGCTCACCTTGGTCTATGTGCATATTTAACAAAGGAAACTCTCAATAGAATTCATAACAAAAATCTCTGTTTTGTTGATCTTGTATTACGGATCCATTAGTCTGTTTAGTTTCTTTAGTTTTTTTCTCAGAACTCAAAAGAAGGTAAAAACAATCCTCATTTAAGGGCAATCACTCCTTAACGAGGGACAGTTTACTAACTATATCGGCAAAATTTGACTTGCTGATCATCTTTGTGATTTAAAGTGTCTATTTATCTATCACAATTTTCATCATATAAGGCATGGTATTGTTAAAATCATCACTAAAGGGCAACAACTCCAATAAAAAGTCGTTTGACGATTTCCTACAAATTGTCTCAATTGTAGATCTTGTTTTGCTGATCATTTTTGTTTATTCAAGTTTCTATCTATCTATCATATTTTTAAGAAATAAGGCAAGAAAATTATCAGTAAAAATCTTCATCTTAGGGCAATAACTCTAATAATGAGTCGACTGACGAATTCCACTATCAGACTTATTTGTAAATTCTGTTTTGCTGATCATTTTGACAACTTAAAGTTTCCCTCTATCTATCATAGTTTTCAAGATAATAGGCAAAAAATGAAAACTAGAGGCTCGAAAGAGCCGGTGTCGCTCACCTTGGTCTGTGTGCATATTCAACAAAGGGCACTAACATTAAAGACAAGAATAGAATTCATAAGAAAAATCTCTGTTTTGTTGATCTTGTACTGTTGATCATTAAATCTGTTTAGTTTCTCTCTATCTTCTTTAGTTTTTGCTCAAAACACACAAGAGGGTACCAAAATCCTTATTCAACGGGCTGGGCAATCACTCCAGACCTATAAAGAGTGACAGCCTACTACCTTTATCAGCAAAATGTAACTTGTTAGTAGATTGGACGATTTCCTCTATATTGTCTTAATTGTAGATCTTGTCTTGCTGATAATTTTTGCTTACTGTATTTAGGTTTCCATCTATCTATTATAATTTTTAAGAAATAAGGCAAAAACGCTAAATATTTCAAAAAATCATCGTCAAAGGGCAATAACTGTCATAAGGAGAAGGCTTACGATTTCGAAAATGGAAACTTACTTGTAGAACTTGTCTTGTTGATCATTTTTGCAATTTAATGTTTCTCTGTATCTATTATAGTTTTCAAGATGAAAGGCAAAACTGAAAAACTAGATGCTCTAAAGAGCCTGTGTCGCTCACCTTGGTCTATATGGATACTCAACAAAGGACACTCACCAGCAATGTAGACAATTGGAGACCTTAACATCGTTCGCGACCGAGAGTTAAAATCATTCCTCAGTAAAGGACCTAAATATCGTCCCCCGTCAATTATTAATTGAAATGAGTGTCGTAATATCATCCACGACTCACTTCGTGCTTACTGTTTGAAATGGATAAAACGGGAAAAAGCTGAAAAAAAATCTTTGGACTCTTTTTTTAATTCAGTAATGAAGATAGTTAATATACGTTTACAACATTTTAAAGAAAATTTTACTCTTAACAACAACCACAAAAATCCTATTTCTTGTATCAAACATAGACTAAAAGAACTAGCCAAGGAATTTGTTGTTGTCCCGGCTGATAAAGCTGCTAATAATATCATTATAGTTTGACGTAAATTTTACTTTGAGGTTCTGCAAAAGGAAATCACGAATTCACCAACATTCCAACTGACTTCATTTTCAGAAAACGATATCTGTAACAAACATAAAATATTCGCTACTTCTTTACAAGCAGAACCAAATACAATGAAAGTCCCAACTATGTACTGGCTTCCGAAGCTACACAAATCACCTTACAAATATAGATTTATTTCGTATTCAAGTCATTGTTCCACTACTAAATTGTCTATTCTACTTACTAGTACACTTGGTACAATCAAAAACCTGATTATTAATTGTTCAAATAAGGCCTTTGAATTAACTACTTTTGGAGTGTCAAAAACTCGTTGGAAGTACTTGATAAATTGCATGCATATATTGGTGATTTTGAATCTGTTCAAAGTTATGATTTTTCTACCCTATATACCACTTTGCCTCATATTCTTATTAAGAAAAAAATCACACACCTAATTAAATGGGTATTTAAAAAGTCGGAATGCGAATACATATGTTCAAACTCTTTTAGGTCATTTTTTAGTAGCAACAAACAAAAGAACTATGTCAATTGGACATGCTTTGATACTATATCTGCCCTTGAATTTTTACTTGATAACATTTTTGTTCGCTTTGGAGATTCCGTATATCGTCAAGTTATCGGAATTCCAATGGGGACTTACTATGCACCACATATTGCGGACCTGTTTTTGTATTAATATGAGTTACAATTTATGACTAAAATCAGCAAAGACCCATCGAAACAACATCTGATACAAAAATTTAACAATACTTTTAGATATTTGGATGATATATTGGCTCTCAATAATGACGACTTCAGTATGTATACTAAAGAAATTTATCCTGTTTAACTTACTTTAAATAAAGCTAATACTAACAATGACCACTGTCCTTTCCTCGATCTTGATATCTATATCATGAACGGGAAGCTTAATACAAAAATTTATGATAAAAGAGATTAATTTTCATTTCCTATCGTTAATTATCCATATTTAGATGGTGACGTTCCCTTGTCACCATCTTATGGTGTTTGTATATCTCAACTTGTACGATTCGCTCGTGTATGTAACAACGTATTAGATTTTAGCGAGAGAAATTTATGTATTACTGAAAAATTATTGCACCAGGGTTTTCGATATCATAAACTAGTCAAAACATTTACTTAATTTTATCATCGGTATAAGGACATCATTCGTAAATATAACTCAACATGCAGACATCTTATACGTTCGGGTATTTCACATCCAATCTTTTATGGTAATATTCTTTACAAGGCACAAAAATGTCAGTATTCACCTCAAAAGCTAAAAAAACCTTTAAACAGACTTATTAAGAAGGGATATAGTTACGATACTGTTGTCAGGTCATTAAAGATTGCATATTTTGGTATTAATATTGATTCACTTATAGGGTCTTTGCATCGGAATTAAACATATTTATTCTAAAACCAGTTGTTGGCATGACACAGGTTATGTTCTTCTCATATTTTTTATGATGGTATAATACTAAACCCCTAACAGGAGGGATTGTGCCTGATATTCATATGATGAAGCCATAATCTT